TTTGGAAACAATTCTAACACTATAACATATACAAATCCAATTTGATCCTTTTAATAAACTGTACTACAGTAAAATTTAAATTCTTCACTTTTGAAAAATCTACCTTAAGAAATCAAAGAAAGATGTTTATTCTAGAAGATGGTGTATATATATATATATATATATATATATATATATATATATAATCTCCACACAATCTTCAAAAAAATCTTCACAGACTTTTTTGTCATAATAGTCAATAACTAAAAACAACTAAAAATGTCCATTTCAGGAGGTACAAATAAACCTACTTGTCCATTAATAGGTACTAGATAAAGTTACATCTGTATGATGTAATAACAGGAACAAGTCCTATAAATTACTGATGCACACGTATAGATGCCAATGTATGTCAGCCATGAAAGCTCAGCAGAGACAATTCAAATAATTCGAGAAAATATTTGCAAACCACATATCTGATAAAGGGTTAATATCCAAAATACCCAAAGAACAATCTGATTTTAAAATGGGCAAATTATCTTGAACAGATATTTCTCTAAAGAAAACATACAAATGGCCAAGAAGTACATAAAAAAAATGCTCCACATCACTAATCATTAGGGGAATGCAAATTGAAACTGCAGTGAGAAATTACTTCATTCGAATGGCTTTATTCAAAGAGATGAAAAAACAGCAAGTGCTGAAGAGGAAGCAGATAAAAAGGATCACTGCTGTTGGGAATGTAAATTAGCACGGCCATTATAGAAAGTGGTATAAAAGTTCCTCACAAAAAGAAAAGTAGAACCACCATATAATTCAGGAATCCTTTGTCTGGTATATACCCAAAGGAAAAGAAATCTGCACCTGGTAGAGATATCTGCAGTCTCAAGTTCATGACAGCATTATACACAACAACCTAGATATGAAATCAACCCAAATGTCCATCAATGAATGAAAGGATAAAGGAAATGTGGTATATATACATAGTGGAATACTATTCAGAATTTAAAAAATGATATATCTTGTCATTTGCATGTCACGGATAGATCTAGAGAACATCATGTTCGGTGGAATAAGTCAAACACTGAAAGACAACTACCTGATAATCTTTCTTACCTGTTGAAGCATATAAAGTTTAACTCGTAAAAATAGAGAGTAAACTGATGTTAGCAGAGGATGGGTGGGTGCATGGGAATGAAGGAAATGGGGAGTTGTTGATCAAAGGGTAGACAGGAAGGTGGACAGGAGAAATAGGTTTTGAGATATATTGCACATTTGAATAAAAGTACAGTCAATAATAATGTACTTTTCAAAGTAACTAAGAGTAAATTTTAAATGTCTCACCATAAAAAATGATGTGAGGTAATGGATATGTTAATGAGATTAACTGAATTATTTAACACTATACATATATCAAAAATCACATTGTACCCCATAAATGTATACAATTATTATTTGCCAATGAAAAATGATATTAATGATATATTTTTAAAGCATCACATTTGCACACCTTAAATATGTAATTTTTGTCAACTATACCTAAATTAAAGTAAATAAATATATTTCAAAGATAATAAAATAAAAACACTGCATGATTCCAAGTATGTACATTTTTACATGTAAATGTAAACTAAATTATAATAATCAAAAGTAGCTAAATGGATACCTAGGGATACATGTAAAAAGGAAGGATAGATTTTAAAGCGACTTGAGAAAACTCTTGAGGGTGACTTAAATGTTTACGTGATGAGTATGATAGATTTAGGGGCATATACATAGGTCAACACTCATCAGATTTGACATTATATATGGTCTTTTATTGTATTTCAATATGTTTAAATGATGTCTTAAAAGATTATATTTATTTTTCTAATTATTCTTACTCAAGTAGAACAAATTTTAATGTTTTAATTTAGAAAAAACAGGGAAAATAGAACAAGTGTTTAAGAGCCATTCAAATCATTTTCAATAAGATTTGCAGGAAAATAATCAGAGTTTAGTGAAAACAAAAAGTAGTTTTTTAAAAACAACTTTTTTTAAAAACTATATTAACCTACCCTCTCAACAACACAGTGGCAATAATAATCCCAGGGGATACTCAAAGAATCCTCAAAACAGTTTTTTACAAAACAAGTCCTTCACCCCTGTTTAAATAAGATAAACTACATAATTTTCTGGTGAGCTTTAGTCTGCACATTTACCTCAGAATAATTAAACAGAAACATAAAAACAATATTTAAACCTATAAAAGGGGACTGCATCATGATCAAAAGCAACTTGTACTTTGTTAGAAATCAATCCTTGAAAAAATTAAGTATCCAATGCACATTTTTGTATTAAAGTTATTAATGCATGTTATTAAAAGATTCGAAGAGCAAATAATTCAGATTGCAATATACAAATGTTTGTTTATTACATTATTTTCTACCTAGCTAAAACCAATAATTAAATATCTCAGGTAATTATATATCAGAATTTACAATTATCTTGATATTGTCTTCATCATCACTTTGAAATCTGAATACATGCTGTGGTTTGATTTAAACACCTATTGATGGTAGACTTCTAATAATGGAGGAGCTACGTTTTATTTATCTTGTTTCCATTATCACTCAGAACAAAACCTGAAACTTAAGGTGGACTTAGCATGGTTTTAAAAATATTTTCAGCTGGGCGTGGTGGCTCACACCTGTAATCTCAGCACTTTGGGAGGCCGAGGAGGGTGGATCATGAGGTCAAGAGATCAATATCATTCTGGCCAACATGTTGAAGTCCCGACTTTAAATTAGGTGGGCATGGTGGCGCACACCTGTAGTCCAAGCTACTCAGAAAGCTGAGTCAGGAGAACTGCTTGAACCTGGGAGGCTGAAGTTGCAGTGAGCCGAGAACTTGCCACTGCACTCCAGCCTGGCAACAGATCAAAACTCCGTCCCAAAAAAGAAAGAAACATTCTATTACCACAACAACGTTGCCACATAAAGAAGATAAAAATACTGCCAATGTTACATGGGCAGTATTTTTATCCAGAAAACGAAAAACAGCTATTTATTTTCAATGCGGTTTGACAATACAAACATATATACATAAATTATAATCTTATTTTCGGTTTTCATTTGTTTCATACAAATGCCCATGATGTCATGCATGGAGAATAATTCAGAAATCCTAGGACATCTTTGTTGGATGTGGATGCACTTGAATACAAGTATATTTAAATGCTTGAGTATGAATAGGTCCCAAGAGTCTCTTCTTTCAACCCTCTTATTTTATAAATAAGGAAATTGAGGATCCAGGGACACATAACACACTATTAATTGGCATATTAGCTAGTCCTATTAGTCTAGTACTAGTGTATGAGCCACTCTGCCTTCCTATGTTTTGAAAATATCTACAATGCTCCTTTCTCATAAATTCCACTTTTCTGAGTACCTGCAACAGAGATTTAGTACTAATCCTATGATATATCAAATGTTCTAAAATATTAATGAAACACAAAGAATAAAAGTGCTAAATATAGTTTCATTAAGATAATATGTTGCCTAGCACTTTTGTAGGACAGTGGAAAAGGCCAGGAGTATCTGAGAATTGTCCCTTCAAAATGGTTGGACAGTTCTCATATAAATCAGATCTTGGCATTTTTAATTTTTCCTTTCTTTATTTAGATTCACATTTTGAAAAATGAAAAAAAAATCATAAAGTAAATACTGGCTTAAATATACAGATTTTAATTAAGACATAAACAAATGTACTGCAAGCCTGTTATGTGTTTATAATTTGTTAATAAAGTTGTTGGTCTGAAAAAGAAATATATTGTGAAACTGGAAAAAAAGTAGAAAAAATTATTAGGGGAAAGAGGTTAAGTAAGTTACTGGCATCGCTTCCTCCTTTGTGTGTTCTGGATAATATCATTGCTCTTTGTTTATCTGGTTTTTAGGAGTATGTTAGAAAAAAGTGGCTTTCTTAGAAGCTGCCTGACATCAGCAACTGAAGACAGTAATTTGTGACCAAATCTTATTGCCTTCTATTATTGACTACCTTTCATAATCCTTTTCTCTTGTATTAGTTTCTGACTGGTCTTTCCATGAATTTCTTGACAAGCACAGTCTATAAAAATGTAAAGTAATATGGATAACTTATGTCTATGCTTGAGAAATATTTTCTTTCTAAAGCCATTCTTGATAAGAAAATGCATCTTGTATCACAGCTACCATTGCATTCTATCAATATTAATGTACTAGACATGCTCCAATAGAAATATTTTGTCAATGAGAATGTCTTATACATTTCACTAAGAACAGCTATGCCCTTTCAAGCATCAGAGAGACTCCAACATTGGTGCTTCATAAATATTTATTGAGAACGATGTTAAGTTTCTTTTTTAAATAGCGTGTGCACCAAATCATTTTTAAATTCCATGCAATGACCAAAGGGTTTTTGTGAAATCGTGACTTGCATTAGCCACCCGCGCAATCTCACACAGTTATGTGCATTTTTAAATTTATTTAAAAACTATCCTTGTTATGGTCCTTTCATTTTCCAGACAGACAATAAACACTATTTTGATAAGATATGCTGTTAGTATATTTCACTGCATTTAAAATACTATTTATAGTTTATGAAAATGTAAAATAACCTAACAAAACAATTTGAATAAGAAATGTGAACACCACCTATCTAAGACATAGTCATAAATATTATAAATAAATTAAAAAATCTATAGTGATACTGACCAATTACTGATAATCTTTTTCAGTTGATACTGTGTTTGGAGTAAATGCTGCAAAAAAAAAGTCACCATTTTCAGGAAAAGCAATGCCAAAATGATTAAATGTACAGCACTGTGAAATGTCCTGTAATATCCACTAGATGTCTCCAATATCTGACTGGTTACTTTATTTCTCCTAAAGCTATGCATTAATACTGAAATATAAACTACATTTGTATTTTTTTTTCTATAAAAATCATCTTTTTCAAAGCACACAACATTCTTTTCATGAAAGTACAAAAGGAAAGTAACTTACATTCAATATCCAGGTACATGCTCTTTTGGTGCCCTCCAATTCTACTTGCAGCTTCACAGTCATATCTCCCTGAATCTGACAACGTCACATCTTTAATATGCAGTGATGAGCTTCCATGCTGCCCTTTGACTTCGATACGGCCATCTGGGCTCTGTTTACATCAATTCAGGAAAAAGAAAGATTTTTATGCTTGTGTGTGCAAAATGGTGACCAAACACATAACATTATGTTGCTTTCTATGTTTCTCTGGCAAAAAGAAAAATGAAACCCTTTCCGATGTAGAAAGTATTTCTTGTACAGCTAAGAATAAGGTTTTTTAAAAAGCACACGTTTTACATTCCATAACTTCATGAAGGTTTCATGTACCCTGGCTGTGTAATGATAAAAGCATTGCAATGCCTCCAAAGAAAACACAATCACTTAACCTGTTGTTTAAGGACCTCTCATGGTCCTTTCCATCCAAGCACACTTTACAATTTGGATACTGTAAATTCCAATTATTTTGAATTACTAATACTGTCCACAATATCCTGTGCTTGGCATAATAACTCTTCACAGACCTGGCTTACACATTTCTCCTTTTTTTCTCTCTGTATTCACATGGCAACATTCTACTTTCTATCCTTTGAATTACTCGCAAATTTTCATATTATATTAAAAACTGTCTCTGATTGCCTAAATAAATAACTGACTTATTTGAACTACATAATTTTCTTGGAATAGGTTGCTTTTAGTAAAGTCTTATTGGAACTTCAGATTTCATCCCACAGTGTTATATTATAGTTGAACAAATGTGAGAAAATACTTATGGTACTTCATGTAAAAGTCACGTAAACCTCTAGGACAGAAATATTATATTCTAATATTTTATAAAGCAAATTCTGTGATAGTGAAATTTACATGTAGTTGAGTAAAGAAAAGATAGTTCTTCATCAATTATTTACTATGAGTTAAAAACTTACACTTAATTACCTTTATTGGAATGTAACAAGATATATTATTAATAACACAAATTATTCATTTTTATAAGAAAAATAATTATTTCACAGTATCAAAAAGTAAATTTTAAAGTTACATGATCTTCACTTGAAAATAAAAATGTTCTCTTGTTTACTTTATTATACATAATGTGGTTTTCATTTGTGAAAAACTATTGTTGTATACAGTATCAGCATGCTCTTAGTACAAATGTTGGTATTTAAAAGTTATTATCAATATACCTGAAATTATTAACATAAATTCTGGAAAACTAAATGCTGTGGCCAAGTGTGTGATTCCTAGGAAAATTAGAAACCATTCTCACATTCATCATTGGCTCTGTAATGACGCAGAATGTGCATCTCAGTCAAATACTTGCACTAAAAGTCCAACTCCTTTTTTTGTTTCTGAAATTCTAGAGGACAGGTCTCTCTTTGTGCTACAGAAAAACATTGCAAATATCTGAAAGAAAATTCGCTTATAACTTGGCTCTGATTCAACACCTACTGAAGATTCATTTAAGACATCTGATATTTGACTGAGACAGGTTAATGGGCATTTTAGCTGTCTATCTAGTATTTCCAAGTTCTATCACTGAATTAAGAAAGATGATTAGAAAGCAAAGTGTCTGACTGTACCTTATTATTCCATCTTTTACAAAAACGGACTCTGAAATTTAATTTATTGCTATGTTATTTGCCTTTTCAGAAGGTCAGTTTAAGAACTGCTTATTTAAATGGTATTTCAATATTTTTATGATATGATTATTTTTAATTTATTGTCCTTTCAAAAATCCCTTAATCAAATAGCCATGTGATAAACACGATAAACACTTCTTGAATTTATTTCCAACTTAAAGTTTTTGTTGACAATTTTCTTTTTGATTTTTTTTTTATTATTACTACTTTAAGTTCTGGGATACATATGCAGATCATGCAGGTTTGTTACATAGGTATGCTCCTGCCACAGTGGTTCGCTACATCCATCACCTCATCATCCATATAAGGTATTTCTTCTAATGCTCATAATTCAAATTATATAGTGTGTCATGTTTATAAGTTACTTTTTGTGACCTCACCTGACTAGACATTTATTGCCAAATGCAGAATCCAGTTATAGTTCATAGCACATTTGAGGTGGTCCATATTCCATAACTTTGTTTTCTTTCCACTGTGTCATGAAACATTTTTAGAGTCATTAACTCCTTTCGCCTTTTGGGAGACTGACGGATCATGTCACTTAACCACTCAACAATTATTTTGTGTCAGTGCATGTGTGTATGCGTGCGTGTGTGTTTGTGTGTGCGTGAGTATTTATTTTTTATTTTATTTTATTTATTTATTTTTTTGAGATGGAGTTTCGCTCTTGTTACCCAGGCTGGAGTGCAATGGCGCCATCTCAGCTCACTGCAACCTCCACCTCCTGGGTTCAGGCAATTCTGCCTCAGCCTCCCAAGTAGCTGGGATTACAGGCGTGCGCCACCATGCCCAGCTAATTTTTTGTATTTTTAGTAGAAACGGGGTTTCACCACGTTGATCAGGATGGTCTCAATCTCTTGACCTCGTGATCCACCCGCCTCGGACTCCCAAAGTGCTGGGATTACAGGCGTGAGCCACCGCACCCGGCCGAGCATTTATTTTACAATAAGCAGCCAGGCACTGGGATGCGGTGTTGAGCAAACTGTAATGGTTTCTACTCTTAGTGGCATTAAAGTTCAACAAACAAGATAGATATTAATTTTACAGTACAATACAAATAAATGTGAAAAGTACCATGTAGACAGACTATACTATCTTTCTAGAAGTAAGCGGAGGAGGATGGGGTCAGTGTGTTTCCTGACAAGCCAAAGTGTGGTTTGCGATCTGAAAATAGTGAAAGAAGGGTAGTGTTGAGGAGAGAATTCCAGGGAGATGCCCTAAGAGGACATAAGAAAAAAGTGAGAAACAAGAATGTGCACAGAAGAGAGTGAGGACATGTGGTTCTCCTGATGATGGACAGGTAAATAGGCACCAGAAACAGAATTCAAGATAAATGCAGATATGCAAAATAATACGCACCCCCGCATTAGATATTCTGTTTGCCTCGTTCCTGATGGCATTATTTCTCTATTGAATAAGTAAACTCAACTTCAGGTACTTGGAGGTAAAGACAATGCATAACTGCTAAATATGTAGACAGAAATACCAACATTCTCCAAAGGTTGTTAGAATTAATTTATCCAAACTAATGTCTCAAAATGCTTTTAATATTTTATTAAATCCACCAGTTTCTACAGTCATACAAAGAAATTCAAACAGAAACAATCTTTTCCCTCCCTGTAAGATTATTATACTTGCTAATAGCAATAATGATATTTCCTCTGGGTTTGCTCCCAGCTTTCCAATCTTTTTATTTCAATTTTGTGAGCTAACCTCTTGTACAATTACCCTTTCACCTAGCAGTGTAAATGATGTCAAAAAGATAAATCTATGCAATCAAAGTTTTTCACTTACGTAGTTTCCTTATTAGGTCCTGGTGCCTTTTTCTTTTCTTTGATGATACAAACAAAAATTTATTCAACAAAGAGGAATTGAATGTAATAATTTTAAAAAGGCAATATATATGATAAATTATACTTGTTAGAAAACGTTCAAAAAGCTTTATATTTACTAGCTTATTTAATCTCCATGAACCATTATGAGGTTGAGGGTAGTATCTTTTCCATTTTAAGATGAGGAAATTAAGACAGAAATATTCAATAACTAGCCGACATCCCACAGCTTATGAGCAGTAGCAGCTGAATGCCCAAGTTGTCTTGCCCTGGACTTCATGTTTGATTATTTTTGATATGTGATTTGCCACCTGAGTACCAACTCTGAGATTAAACTATGTATGTACCACAGCTATGTAATAGACTACTTTGCTGGGTTCTGGGGATTGAAAAATACATGCAATCAAATTGAAAAGTGAGCATTTTTACCTACTAAATGTGTTTATTTTATTAGTGGCTTCTGTAATTTTTATTTTTAAAATAATTTATTCTTTTTAAAATGAGGATTTCAAACACCAAATAAGATGTTGTAAACATTTGATGGCATGTACAATATTTGGTTTCAAACAGTAGACCCAAAACATTTATTTTTGATTCTTTAATGGGAATGAATAAGTTAGCATGTTTACTTTTACATATAAAAAATGGGTAAGAAAAGCAAAGCCCTTGGCCTCTGCGGTCATAGGGATCAGAGGAAAGAATGACAAAGTATAATGCATGCTGAAATAGATGACATTCAGAAAGGAAACTAAGTTGGTAGACAAAGGCAAGGAAGAGTTTCTTGTAGGTATTTATGTCTAAATGGAAGGACAAGTCATAATGATAAGTCAGGAACTGCACTGGCTATGTAATTTTAGGGGCCAAGCGCAAAATAAAATGTGGGAGTTTCTAATCAAAAACTATTATAATGATAATATACTAACTGTGGCATATTAGCCCAAACTTGGTGTCCTTCAGAGTGTGGAACCTGTTCAGTTGCACAGGTTGTACCCCTACAAAATCAGCCCTCACCAAGAACAAAGTAGGAAAAGTAGGAAGGAAATGGGAACTATGTGGGCTTGAATTGAAGGGAAAAAATATGTTCAAAGAGTTTAATGTAGCTCACTGGAGCTATCAAATTAAATATGAGGTAAAAGGGGTAAGATATGAAAAAGCTAGAGAAATCAACAAGATTACAGTAAAAAGTACCAAAGCAAAAGAAAGACCTATAAGATCATGAGAAGATGCTAAAAATCATTAGCCATGAAGGACATTTAAATCGAAACCATGGTACCATTTTGTATTCACTGGGCTGTGATGAAAAAGGCAGAAAATAACAATTGTTGTCTAGGATGTGAAGAAACTGGAACCCTCATGCCCTGTGAGTGGGAATGTAAAATGGTGCAGGTGTTTTGGATAAAACATTTGATAGTTCCTCCAATTGTTAAACAGGGAGTTGCAACTGCATTCCAAAGAGAAATGAAGATGTATGTCCACATAAAACTTTGTATATAAATGCTAGCAACAGCATTATTAATAATGCCAAGAAGTGAAATCAACCAAAATGCCTACTCACTGGTGAATAGATTGAAAAAGAAGTGTTATGTACATACAAAGAAATATTATTTAGCAAAAAAACAAAGAAACAGAGTACTCGCACATGC